GAAAAACTAGTATTCTGAAGCTAAATGCTCTTGGATGGGCAGTTTAATAGGGGGAGAAACCTTTTTTTTTTCTCTTTTATTTATATTGAATGTAGTCTATCACTTTGAGGTCATGAGAACCTTGTGAATTGATATAAATTATAGCATGCATCTCTGAGAAGAGTGGCACGGCCAAACATCATCCCAGAAGCGAATCGGCTTACCATTGTCCAATCAAAGTCTAGCCCAAGTTCTGCCTGAAAGTTTCTTTGTACCAAATAATACCTTTCTAGATGCAGGATATTTTTTAGGTGGGTTGGTCAATCCATTTTTTCCATTGGAGAGGTACTTAGCAGCGAAATATGAGCACCATGGCTTTTTCTTTTCCTTTGGAAATCTCCATAGCCACTTCATAAGAAGGGCTGGCTTGGTTAAAGTCCACCTCCTTCGTTAAGGTGATTGAAAAAATCCAGACCGACCATAAACAAGATTTCATTTTTTGTATGGGATGTTAGTAAAGATGAACATGACGAGGTCTTATTGCATTACTTTTTTTTTTATTGAAATTCAAACATATCTATCTCAATCTTGTGGCAATTTCCTCTTCAAATCACATCAAGATGAACTTTGAAGGAGTAGGGAAGGCTACTCTAGGAATTCGGATTATGGTGGGGTCATAAGAGATGGCTGGTGCTGTCATGTGGAATTGAACGGGTCTCCTATAGGGATTATAAATGCAACCTTTTCAAAAGCAGAAACTCTCCTGCATGGCCGTGGTTTTGTCCAAACTATTGATTCTTTTCAAGTTATCATATCAAACAGTTCTCTTAACATGATTAGATGTGCGAATGGTAATAATCAAGAACCTTGGCGCCTATGCTTTATCCTGAGAAAACTTAAAAAAAGATATATTGAGTTAAAATTCATCATGTGAAGAGGGAAGCGACTCATTTAGCTGACCGTCAGGCTAACTTGGGTGTTAGGCTACAGTCTTGTAGTCAGTGGATGGGGGGTCTTCCATTCCAGAAGATCTTTTTTTTTTCACTTTTTCCCTCACTTATCATCTCTCTGTGGGACTTGTTCCCTCTTCAACTCAGCGCTTTATAGATAGGCATTTTTATTGAGAATGCTTTAAGGTCCCACCTTACCTTTCAAAAAAAGTAGCCGAGCCAAAGGAGCTCTCACAAATAGAATTTGAGTACCACGGAGAAAAGCTAGCTGGATAAACAAGATAGGGATCGCCCGCTCGGCAATGCTACCTTGGGAAGAGACAAAACACTTTAATATAACAATTTTCACTCATATTTTTAAAGCTTTTTCGATATATGAATATGAACAAGATTACTATGGAAGAGTTGGTGAACATTGTTTTGACTCATAGCTCTAAGATGACTAGCATGAATAAGCCAGCTTCAACACCACCTAGACTCTTAATCATAGACAGACTTGCACTGACCTCAACATAAAAAGGATGAACCTGGTCTGTCTATTTGTACGCATTGGCTTAACTCACTCCTAACCTCCCTAGACACTGCAAAGAACACATAATGAAAACTGCCTGGTCAAGGCTGTACAAGGGAACGAGAAAGGGGTTTGATAAGAAGGAGTTTGGGAATGTCCCGCTTAGTTAAGTTAACAAACATCGAGTTTGGAGTCGGGGCAGCATGGATACGAGACTATTGATTGAAGTGAAGTTTGGAATCATTGTGGTTTTCTATCTTCAGATTACCAAATTGGAGAATCACCAAGGCCTTTCAGCGATTTGACGCGCCCCCCTAAGCTAGACGCTTTACTTACCTGACCTCAAAGAGAATAGAATGAGTCGCCCTAGCTCTTACTAAGAGTTTGAATTGCTCTGTAGGATAGTAGGGCGAATGAATTGCATTAGTGCGATTTGGCTAGCGGAATCGCCCAGCGAACAAATCGCCTCCTTGCTATCTTAAAAAAAAAAGCGGACCCGCGCGAATCGCGTCTTCGATCTTGCATATATATATATATCAGCATCACCACTACGGAAACGAAATTTCCTTAGTTCTGTGAAACAAAGCCAAGCCTTTTCTGCCTTCCATCCCGCGTTTCCCTGCTTGAGACTTTTTTTTATTAGCCTAGTCATGAACCACCCTGGTTTGGACCATGGTCTACCCAGCAGTGCTTCATATCCTCCTTTCTCTTTGTCTAAGATTGGACTAAAGGTACCAAACCAGGCATCCTTTTTTTTTTTTTTTTTTTTTTTTGGCCCGTAGGTTGTACGCCAGCCATACGTAGCTTGAACTGTGATGGCCGCAATGCTTAGCTATTGTCGATCTCCAAGACGCCTTTGGTTGAATGTTCACACCTGATCCACCATCTGCACTTCCTACATTCACTCCCGGAAATTGAAACAGGAAAACAGAAATTGTAACCTCCCGGTCTGCCGTCTCCACGACTTTCCCTTTGGCGGGCTGCTCCTCAAGCCTTCGAGTGCCGATCTTCGCTTGGGCCGGCTCCGAGGCTCTACCCTGGCTTTTCATTGGTTCCAACCCTGGGGCCCTTTATCGTATCGCGCGCGCATCTTCAAGCAATCGGGGGGGGCCGAGTACATAGACGAGGCGGTCCCGGGAATGAGAGCCCATTCCCTCGTGCTCTGGAACTCCTTAACTTCGGTTGAACAAAAAAGGTTCAATCTTGTGAAACCGTAGCGTAGGCGAAACCTGGCAGCCCGCCCAGACCCAGAGTTTGACCTTCTCCGGCCCTGGTAGGAAACCCCACTTTCCTTCCCCCAGCAGGCAACAACACTGGGAGAAAGACGATCAGGATCTCACGTGTGGCAGATGTTGGAACAAACTCCGAATCCAAGAGGTACCTACCTAGAAAGGAAACTCACCACTAACTGGTAAAAGAGAAGAGAGAAAGGACCAATTGAAGGCCCCGGGGCCGGAATGCGGTAGGGTCTTCAAGCCCCATGCTCGATTCTCGAGATTGATTCATGGGCCGTCTCGCGAAGATCTTCGATCCTTCGCCATCGCGAGAATATAGCGATCGAAGAGCTATCGCTCAGCAGCTTCGCGTATTACGAAAGTCGTATTGCCCGAAGGGGGCATGCTGCAAGAGCGTAGGTGACTGGTAAGCGTAGGAGGCGTGCCCGAAGGGCAGCGGCAGCAGTGTGGTTCCAGGTGCCGTCGCTAGATTGAGATCCGCAGGGTGGCGGGGACTTCGCCTGCCTTATGTGAAGAGAAGGGGTGGTAGGCTTAGTAGGGCTCGAACCTACAATATAACCGTTATGAGCGGTACGTTTCAACCAATTAAACTATAAGCCCCTACGGATCTCTACATGCAATTTGCTCACTTCGGGAAGAGCGGACGGAAAGGGGGCCTTTGCTCTATCTGCTTCTTCCTCTTCCCAGGAATGAACAATTAGAAAAAAAAAATGATTTTCTTATTGTTGATAGATAGATATAGAATATTCTATATCTATTATTTATTATTAATAAAAATAGATATAGAATAATATAATTAAGCATTAAGCAAGCGGCCCTTTCGCGACTCAAACTGCCGGTACGCTTTCCGGCTCGAAACGACTCAAACGGGTGGGGGCTCTATATTTGCTTGCAATGCCGGCTGTTCGCGTTTAGTTAAAAGTAGAAGTAGAGGGCGCCCTTTGCCCCACACTTCAAAAAAAGTAAAAAAGTCTAAATTAAGTAAGAAAAAGTACATAAAAAAAAAGAAAGAAAAACTTAGTTACGGGAACCGAAGGTTAGGCCGACTACTTACTTTAGTATAGCTAAACCTAAAAAAGTTTATTCCTACCCCCTTTTCTTCCCCTTTCTGTCAATGTTGCCAATTCCCAGAATACTAATGCACCCTCGTGCATACAGTTGTCCAACTACTTTCTTCTTCCGACTTTTTTAGCCACTTCCGCATCTGTCGTATTCGGGAGAGCTTGCTTCGTGTCGGAGCATTTAGCAATGCCCAGCAGCCTGGTGAGGGCTGGCTGCCCGGGGACAGGTTAAGGCAGGGCCCGCTGGGCTTGCTTCTCATGAGATTGGGTGAGGGAATCGTAAAGGGGCTCATAAACCAGGCGGGCGGGCTTTTGGGCACGCGGAAAAGGGAAAGTGGATGGAGGGTGCTTCTCAGCTAGAGTTGGGGGCGGGGTCGCTATACTATAGTGGCTAGGGTGAGTCTTCCTACACGGCTGGACGCCCGGCTCTAGACGAAGCCGCGGGGGTTACCACCACATCCTCTCCCGATAGACTCGAAGCTCTTCATAGTCCGGCGGGGTAGCAAATTTTCTCTCAAAAAGAGACAGGCCGGAGATAACAGAGGAAGGTATTCGGTTCAAAAAATATACAGCAGTCAAAACAGCTTCAGCCAAAAATTGACTAGGGACAGAAGCAGAGAGCAAGAGAGAGCGAGCTGTCTCCAATATATGGCGATGCTTCCGCTCGGCAACTCCATTCTGCTGAGGAGTGTGGGGGCAGGATCGTTGGGAAAGCGCTTTGTAAATGAAGTGAGTTGAAGCAAGCAGAGTTCGGAAGGCAGCGTCACCTCAAGAAGAAGAACGGAAAACCTTGATTTTAGTCAATTTTTTCATTCTTCTGTCAAAAATGACATATACGGCCTCCTTTCGATAACAGAGAGGCAGAATGGGTTTCGGACACAAGATCAAAAAAAGAAGTAGAAAAAGCGTCTTTAATATTAATAAAGGAAGGGCCGAGTCTTTTCTCAGCTTGCAACCCATACAAGTAGAAATCTCAATGTTAGGTACAGACCCCAACATTCCAGTAGAAATAAAATATCTAAGTCTTGGGCTGGAGACATGTCCTAATCTACGATGCCACAACAAAAAAAGGGGAGTAGAGAAAACAACACCAGAAAAGGTAAACGAAGTTTCTCAAAAAGAGAGCTTGCCAACTCTACGGTCCTTCCCAATCAATCCCTTACTCCATAAGGCCTCTCGCATGATCCTCTACAAGACAGGAGGTAGGAGAGAAGTGAATATAAGCATTTTCTTTTTCAAGCCGGAAAGAAGATTCACTGAGAAC